GGGTTTCCTTAGAACTACTTCTGAATTTCATAATGTGATGTGTTTAAAGATTCTTTATTGTGCCTTAGTTAGGCCCAGTGGCGGCTCGTGATAATACGAGATGGTAATGCCAGATTTTTAACAAATGTGAATATCCCGCCGGAGGCCCCCCACCAGAGGCGAAAAATTTTTTGGAGTGCCACGCCCAAATTTTTAACCAAAAGTCGTTTAAAAAACTGGCTTTGGGCAAAAATTTATCACGGTATTGTCAAAATAGACATAATATTTTAATTAAAAAAATTAATGAATAAGGACGGATATTTTTATATCTATTATATGACTACTATTTATGAGGTTTCTAACACAAGTTTTGCTACGAAACAGGCCGTCAGGGTTAGTCTTATCCTAAACTTTGCCAATAAATTACTTAAAACTTATCAAATAAACTGAAATTATACATTAAAAATACATTCATAAAGTTACTATATTTATAACATTCATCGACTCTTCTGGCTAAAATATTACTTATCTATCTATTCAGCTCTGTTCCGTCTACTTTTTGTCTTTAGCCTCCTTCTGACACCTCCATTCGTTCTTATTCAGTGTAGTATGCATGGTTTTCAGAATATCAAGTGTTATACCAGAGACAATCCAGCGAGACGTGTAACTCAATGTATTTTTTTTTTGTTCGGTAAAAGTTATTTGGGCGATTGTAACCACAACCAGTCTATGATGGCGACTCTAGTAAATAGCGGGAAAATTAAAAATGCTTTAGGACGGGAAATTCAAACATGGATTCAGAAATAAATAGTTTTTCTACACAAATTTACAGAAGAAACAAAAACTATTGTGTTACTGTATATTAAAAAATATAAAAGCTTCCAATAACATCAAATTTTTTATCATATAAATAATCATTTTAATAAAGGAAGTTGTAATCAGTTTAATATAAGCAGTGAGTTTTTATTACTCTTGTAAATTTCGCTAAAAAAACTTGAAAATTCTATTGATTATTAAATATTTAAACTTGGAAAAATAATACACCAAGCTCTTTTTCTATAAATTATATTTTTGTAAGGTACAGAAAAACAAACTACAATTGCTTCGTTTAGAAAGTACCTCGTATCATTTTGTGACAAATTACAAAAAAAGTAACAGTTGTTATATATTCATAATATATTTAAAAACTAATGTAACAAATATTTTATAAAGTATAGAGTATATCGATACCTTTTTGCCAGACTATCATAAGTGCTATTTGAACAAATGTTGCTTACGTTAGTCTGGCAAAAAGGTGTCGATATGTTATGACTGTTTATTTTAATAGAAACCATGGAAACGAAACAAACACACACATACACTCAACACAAATGTATAAGGCCAGAGTCGAGTAAGTTACCATCCTGTAAACTGGATCAAAACCTGCTAGACCCATTCCGTACACCCCCTGCTAACTCCTCTTAGGGTCATCAAGATCAATAGATTTATATGCCATACCTTCTAAAAGGGAATGAAGGATGACATACTATCATCATTTAAACAGGATGTTGCTGAAGGCTTACCCTTGTTATTTCGTTTGTTTGTGTATCTTGTGCGTGTGCATTCCTGTTGTGTTCCCAGTCATATAAAAGTTTTCCTAGTCTCCTAATTTGGTTACTAGGTGGACCTTCTCCAACTAGTAGTCTAATCTATTCGATCTGTTCTGCAGCAGGAGGTACTTTTCAAACATAGCAAATAATAATAATAATAATAAACACTATTTAAAGATGAATACATTTTTGTATTTTTTTTGTCATTTTCCATTACCTGTCTCTTACACCACCAGGGTATACCTATTTTCCACATTCCCTTAATTACAGATTACCTTACAATGTTTGAATGAATAGAACATTTTACCCATGAAAAATCTAATTTCCTATTTAACTCTTTTTCAATTTCATTTGAAACAATTTGTATATTACAATTTATTATCAAAGAAATCTTCTAATAAAGTTATAGCAAATCCTACTTAAACTACTGGTTGTTCTGCAGGATAAATTAAACTTTTCTTGAGATTGATCTCTCTCTCTAAAATCCAAAACCGACCTGATGTCCCCAAATTTATTTTCCAATGCATCCTGATTTAAAATTCTACCCTTTTGTGATTCAATTTTTTTTTTCTTCCTTTAGAGTGGCTATTAGAGGTACCTAGGTGTATGTAAAAAATAGCCAATCTCTAATCATTTCAAAAGTCCTTTGCCAATACTACATGTGCAGATTTTTTACTCCACATACATTTTACTTTTCTAGTAGGTAGGAACTTTGTGCTACCATTAAAGCTGTCCAGACATTCATCTACCTACTTAATGAACAAAAGTAGCTATAAAAATGGATTTCTGTTCCAATTCACCTAAAATAATTATAGCCATTTTGTAATATATTATTAAACACACACATTATACAGTGGTTTTCTTAATAAATTGGAAATTACTTACCTCTAGAAAGAAATGTGTACAAAGACGCGAGTTTGGTTCCAGAAATTGCTTCATGCAAAAAAGAATATGCAAAAATAAACAATCCCCCCCAAAGAAAATTAAACAACAAAATCAGACTCAAAGAAATAAACGGGGC